TCCGAGCGCTTTTATCCATTATCAAGGGTCATTTTATTTTTCCTTTTTAATTAGGTGTGTGGGTTGTGCGTATATTTCTAAAGTTAGTGGGATGTTTTATTTGCCGAACACAGCACATTGTGGCCGTGTTCGTAGTTAATGTTACTAAGTGTTGGCATTTTCTTAATTTATTATTAAGTCTTCCTTTATTTTTATTTTTTTTTTTTACCTGTGGATGAGGTTATTATGTTTGCATTTTCTACCAGTATGTTTTAGGTGGAGTCTGGTAAGTTTGTGTGTGTATGTTTAAGTGGGTCCTAATAGAGCTGTGGCCAGATAGGTGTAACGTAAGGCGTCGTGTGACCGATGTAATTACTTATGAATTAGGTTTGATCAAGGGAGATTTGACATCAGAGATAATGTTCAATCGTTGATTTTGCTGGTGTGTTATTTTTGGGGATAGCATTAGCTGTTTTAATTACTTTGTAGTAGATAATTAATTTGATATTTTTGTTCATGTCAATTGGGGTAGTGGATTTTTTCATGATATTTCTAAGTGAAGACACATCTTGTTCATAGCTGATGTGCTTATGTTTTTTTTGTAGAAAATATTTATTTTTGATAGTGAACACACAGTCAAAAATTTGAATGCTATATAAAATATTAATAAATTTATGGTTAATTGAAGAGGTAATATGTATATATATGTGTGTGCTCGTATATATATATATATATATATATATATATATATATATATATAACTTAAATTAAAAACACTAGAAAATGTGCAATGAAAAGGAAATGGGGAGAGGGGAAAAATAAATAAATAAATAAACACAAGGAGCTAGAGACAAATAACAGTGAGCCCCAACAAACATTCAGGCTGTTTACACAGGGAAGGTTTGTGGGACCTGATATAAAGTACCTCCAGCACCTTGAGGTGAAATAAATATTGTGATCGGGACAGAACACTGAACCAGTCACAGAAAAAATTAGCCGCACACCCTCTGTTATTTAAGAGGTGCTCACATATGGCTGAACCATAGATATTTGGGAAATGTCAATTCAACGACAAGGTGTGATTCCTGATCTTAGTGGGAACACGTTTAATTCTCATGTCGAGTCGTTCTCCCTATGTAGTCATCTCCACAACTACAAACGTAATTGTAAATAATAGAATTAATTTGATGGGGAGGGAGAACATCCTTACACCCAGAACAAAGCATAGACTGGGTTTGAAAAACTATACGAACCTCAGCCGAGAAAAAACAACGACGAACATTAGATGAAATCTGTCTAACTATACTTTCACATTTGGATCCAATCCAGGGCAATTTAAGATAAACAGGGCACTTTTTAACAGTACAGGGTTTGACCCTTCTGAACTACTCAATCTTGTTGCAGATAACCGAATGAACAGTATCAAGGGGATACCCTAAACCACATAGGGTTTCCTTAACAAAATTGATTTCATCATCCAAGAAGGACTCTGAACAGATCATTAATGCCCTATGAAGGAGGGTCCTAATGATGTTTATCTTAAATTTTGTAGGACAAAAGGAATCCAAACGCGTATATAACCCCGCAAAAGTTGGTTTCCTATAAACTGAGAAATTGTTGGTGTTCGATGTACTAATACATCCAAGAAGGCCAATTGAAAATTGGATTCTTTCTCGACCGTGAACCTCAGTGCTGGATGGATACCATTTAGAAAAGAGAGAAACTGATCAGCCTCAACTTTGTTGTTGAATAAACAAAAAGTATCATTAACATACCGACAATACAGTTGAGGACAAAGTGCATTCCTACGTATTCTCTCTTCGTGAAAGCCGACAGAAATATTAGCAAGTGCCGGACCCAAAGGGGAACCCATAGCAACCCCGTCAATCTGTCGAAACATGGTATTATTCAAACTGAATTCGACAGACGACGTAGCAAATTTCATCAACACAACAAATACAGACTCGGGAATACTCGGTGGAGAAAAGAACTGCGATAAAGCAAATCACAGCAAATATTAATAGTTTCCACAAGAGGGACACAAGTGTATAGGGAACAGACGTCGAAGGAACACATGAATTTTCCCGAAGAAGACAAATTTTGAATACGGTCAACAAAGGAAAATGATTCCATTATGCAAAATCCACACAAGCACTGCAACACTGGTTCCAAAAGCGATGAGAGCCATTTGGCAACCATGTGTTGGGTTGAACCAACCATTGACAAAATTAATCTTTATGTTACCCCAGCCTTGTGGATGTTTGAAAGCCCATACAATCGGGGGTTGGGGAATTGACCAAGACGGTCGAATTTCATTGGAAATTTCTTGTGGAAGCACCCCAGTCTTTACCCATTTCAGGAGTAATTTCTGAAATTTTACTTCACCTGGAGCAGTTCCATCACATGTATCAGCAGATCCTATGTTTCGAAGTATCTTCCAAGATCAAAGACATCTTAGCCATGTAATCTGCCCGATCTAAAATCACAACTTCAACCCCATTATCTGGTCTGGAGATAATCAGATCATAATTATTTCTCAAGGAATTAACAACTCGCTGATATCCAGCTTTCCATTTCGATTGAACTGTAGTAACAGAGGAACTAGCAAACATATGTATGTGTGTACACACACACACACACACACACACACAGACACACACACACACACATATATATATATATATATATATAATATAATTTTTGATATAGGCCATATGAAAAATTATAATAAATAATTATTGCTCTATATCAGTAGAATTTGAATTAATGCTTTGAACGTTAGAATGTATATATTATTTTCGTTCTCATTATATTCGGATATATGCATACATATATGTGTGTGCATATAGATATATATGTATAAACATATATGTATATATATATATATATATATATATATATATATATATATATATATATATATATATATAGATAGATAGATAGATAGATAGATAATAGATAGATGTATATACACACATATATATATATGTATATCCACACATATATGTATATACATACAAACTGTACACACACACACACACACACATATATATATATATATATATATATATATATACATATATATATATATATATATATATATATATATATATATATATATATATATATATATATATATATATATATATATATATATCCATATGTATATGTATATATATATATATATATGTATATATATACATATAAATATGGATATATATACATATATATGTATGTATATATATATATATACATATGGATGTATATATATATATATGGATATATATACATATATATGTATATATATACATATATATATATATATATACAAACATACATATATATACATATATATATATACACACATATATATATGCATATATGCATATTTACACATATATATATATATATATATATATATACACATATATTTATATATACATATATGCATATTTACAAACATATTTATTTACACATATATACATCATATATATGTGTGTGTACAAACACACACACACACACACACTCACACACACACACACACACACACACACACACACACATATATATATATATATATATAAAGTATATATAAATGAGCAATGTGTGTAAGATAGAAAAGGTACTATTTGTTTAATTTTATGGATATGTAATTTCCTTCCCATGGTAACTTACATAAATACACTTTTTTCACATTTCCTGTTAATCATATATATATATATATATATATATATATATATATACTACCTACTGAATATACAACGTTTTGTTAGAAACTCAAATAGTATTCTTTTCATTATATTTTGATTGGATTACATTTTTGGGGGCAACTAAATATCGATATTCACTTGTTTGTTTGGTGACTGATCCTCTACCCTGGATTAATGGAATCCAAATAGCAGAATAAGAGACAATCGGTCTATTGCCATTCGCGCTAAAAAGATTGTAAAGTCCTCTAATATTATATTAAAAAAAAATTAAAAAATAAAACATTCAGAAATAATATCTAATTAGATGAAAGTTTTATTCAATCAAAAATGAATAACAGAATTCAGTGAAAACCTCAATTATTGGAAGCATACAGAAAACCGTAAGATAATCTGTATGTATTAAAAAGAAGTCAAGTCAAAATTTCAACATGATTCATTCGGCTGTGAGCTTTATTTCTCTTTGAATTCAACAACAAAATTTGGCTTGAAGCAAAGAAAAAATTTAATAAATTATTTTATTTTATTTTCCAAATATCCCACTTCCTAGTGTCTGATTATTTCTCTCGTTATAGGTTATAAAATACATGCGTCATACACTTGACTATATATATGTCCACATTATGTAGCGTAGCAGCCATCTTACCGTCGGAAATTGAAAGAGACGATGTAGAAGTGATAGATACTATTAAGAATTTGTTGGCTAATACCCACCTCCAGCATAACTGATCGCCCTAATGATAGCGACTATTGCGGCGACTACAATATCACCTTTGTTACGTCAAAGAAAGACGTGTGTGTGTGTGTGTGTTTTATCGAAAGCGTGAGGTATGGAGACATTGATTGATGCGTATTGATAGGAAGGCAACTTAAACTATCGTACATGATTATCAGTCTGGTCCATCGAAATGTTGACAAAATTCTAAAAAGTCTTTGTAAAAAGAGAATGAAAAATGTAGAAAACTCTTTTCCCAGAAGTGAACAAATTAACAACTTCACAAAACACACACACAATAATTTCTAACACTCGGTGTCAACGGCTCTCATTAACGCTTATAGTGGCCTTCAAACTGATGGACCCTCCTACTTAACTTGCAAGAGCGCAGATAGTCTCTCATTTATTTTCTTTCTTTCCTTTTTTTAATTCCAGTTTTAATTTTTCGCAGATGGTTACGGAAACTATACGCCTACCTCCACCTGAACTCGACCTTTCTCTTCTTATATCGCAATGGTTTCATTAGCGCATATTTATAGGAAGACCTTATCAAAAATCCATTGGTAAGCAAGTGGGTGGGGGCTTGGAGTAAGAATGGGTTAAACGTAGAGGTTGTCGGGGCGGGTGGGGGAGCAATGGTGATGAATGAGGAGTCGAGAAAGTAGAGGAAGAAAGCGTTGTCGATTGGAGTCAAAAGGCGAAATGACGGCGAACGTATACGAACGCTTGTTATACACTCCAAGTCGGATTAGACACGGAAATGCGAGTAATTTGCGCGCTTTTCGAGGTGATAGCGATGGTGACGGTGGAAAAAAGGCAAAGACCTGCCCAAAACACAATACGACGAATAATGAGAACGACAAAAGGAAGAAGTGTCATCGGATCGGATGAAGCAGACGACAACTTCATCGTCGGTGGCGACGGCGAACAAGACGAGCTGATCTCTGGGGGCTGTAATTCTACACAATTATCGTGGCTTTCATCAGCTAAAAGTTAACAAAACTTTAACTTCTTTTCGGAAGATAATAGATAATGTATAAAAAGAGAGCAAAAAGATTTATGGGTGATTTGCCTATGAGTAGGATTAAGATGCAGTGTAAAAGTAAAAGATACACCATCGATGTGATACGAATGTATGTTTGGTCATGCGTACTTCGCATGAATCTTTTTAGCTTCTTGTTGGATGAAGGAAGCCGTTTTAAAACTAAATATGAAAATGGATATTTTGAATGACTTGGTCTATAAGTTAAGAAGCAGGGTGATAGAGGTTATCAAGGACAGTAGAGCACAAGAGAGGTTTTGCGTGGAGGGAGAAATAACAACGGTTTTACGTGGATGGAAAGATAATAAGTTTTACGTGGAGGGGAAGATAACATTCTTACGGGAAGTAAGAAATAACAGTTCGCCTCGGCAGTGTTACCACTGGCGGATCGCCAGAGTTCCACCGGTGGTTGCCACCAAAGGACCGCTGGCGTTGCCATCGGCGGCCCTCCATCGGGCCAGAAGCGGCTTACCTGTAAGGAATGGTCTTACATGGAGGGAGAAATAACGATTTGATTTTGAGGAAAGAGAATATTACCGAAATTACTTGGAAGTATAAAAAATATGAACAGATATCTTGTAAATGTAAGATTTATAGTATGTTACTTATGTAGAGTTCTTGGGTGAATTATTTTTCTTAGTCGCATTTTCGGCGTAGATGTGCTAGTTTTTTGGTTGTTGATTTTTATCACTCCCGTGTTTAGCAGATATATTATTCAGCCTTAGATTGCAGGAATTTAGTAAAATAATACATGGAATTGTGTCGATGAAAATAGAAAGGTAAAAAGAAGAGAAAAATGTTGAAGAATATTAGAATAAAAATTGTCAAGGAAAAATAAATGAAAGAAAGAAGTTCGGTTAAATGTTAATAATAACTTCAGACTGAAACTATAAAAATAAACTCAATATAATAATTTTGGTAAGCTTGCTGGCATTATCAGATGAAAGAGAATCATGAAATAGGTAAACCCATAAAAGAAATAAACAACAAAAAATAAACTTGATCTGCATATTAAATGTAAGTAACGATTAAAGTTTGCATTAATCCAGATAATGTATTAATTTTTAATCAAATAAAACTCAAATAGGCATGTCTATAATATAGCATATATTTCTTCTGTCTTTTCTTATTATATCTGGTCTCCTGGCTTGTATAATGCGATTGGTATGTATGATAGGAACTCAGCGCACTGTAACATTTTCACTTTCTAGCACTGGTAATGTGTTCATACCATTTTTTGGCATGAGAAACATTATATTGTTAGCATTTTTTGCAGATATTTCCCTACCCTATCATGTCTCTATTTCATTTCTTGTTATGACAACACATTCAGATATCAAATTATCATTAGTTTTCTCAACGTTTGAACAAAAGTGTTATTTTCGATCTATCCCATTCTTTAAAACATTTTTCTGGAACGATCTTGAGTAGATCTTTTTGCATCGGGTTTCTACCCAAAGCACAGCAACCACTGAGGAGTCAGGTTTTTGCCAACGTCATTGTTTTCGCTAGTGTTTTTCTTCCATTTTGTTTCGATATTAGGCCCATATTTTTTTTGTTACATTTTTTTTAAAAACTCTAACCTTGTTTGTAATCTTGCAAGTGAATTTGGGTTAGTTTATACTTCATCTGCCCTATGCAGGTAAAGTCTATCCGCATCTTTTGGGGGTTCGTGCCCGTTATAGAATTATCACGTGTTTTTTCTTCTTCTATAGTCTTCTTTATTTTCTCCATTTTCCAATAGAATTTCTTTAACATGTTTGATAATGTTTTGTTTCAAAATGTACTTTTTTCTCATATCTTCTTTTTCTTTGTGCTTTTAGTTGTAGGCATTGCTTTAGTATCTCTGTTGTAGTTGATATGTCACTTTGTCCTTATGTTTTAAATAATTTGTTTTAATAATTATCTCTTTCTTTACTTTTATTTTTAATAATATATTGAATTTTCTTTTATTCCTCTTGATACTTGCCTTATTTTTGTAGAATTGCAACCACTTTCCCTATCTTAGTTTGCCACAGTTATTTATTTTATTCGGTAGTTTAGCTACAGGTAGTTTTACTTACTTTTTGTATTGATCCTATTACTATAGGTATTTACACTATTTACATTGTTCGAACTGTTGTTTTCATCTTTGTTGTCATGTTAGCTACTTTTCGGCCGTTGTATGCTCCGGCCTTTTTCATGTGATCAAACTGAACCATTTACACATGGCCCAGTAGATAAAAGCGTTGGTTGATGACTTGACCCATAGAGTTGTGAGTTCAATACCTGGCCACAGCAGGGTTGCAAAGTTAAATGAAAATAACTGAAAATGAGATATCCGGAAAAGGCATGTCGCGTGGAACTAAAAATGTCTACCCCGATTGACGAAATAAAGGGTTCGGATCAAAATCCCAATCACCTGAAGAAGGTCGGAGATTTCCTGTTTTAAAGTTTTCCATTTTTCTCATATTTGATTTTGTTAATTTTTGTCTATTCTTCCATTTCTTGTGTTCCGTTTTTATTACAACTCTTACTATATTTGCTGATATTTCTTCAACTTCTGCATCGATAACTTTATATCTTAATTGTTTTTTCAGTTAGTTATTTTCTTCTCTGTTTTTAAATATTCGACACTCATTTCTATTATTTATCTTATCGGATTTTGTTTTTAGATTAGTAATTAAATTCCTCTTTAACTCTGTGGCGCTCACAGTTTTACTACACATCACTTGGCTTGGGAGGATGATGACGTGTAAGATAATAAATAATTTCACTTAATAGGTGTCAGCCTACCAAAGGTCGAAAATTTAGTCAAATGAAAGGATTCTCTCCGCATATTCATGAATGTGGGTCTAATGTTTTTTTAGATAGTTATGTGCGTATGTATATGTGTACTTCATAATATATATATATATATATATATATATATATATATATTATATACATATACAATATACAAGTGATCTGCGAATGATCTTAGGCAGATCCTTAATATCTAGCAGAAAAATCATAGGACCGAGCAGAACGTCTTGGGAAACACTTGCATTGATCACATGGGCATCAGAATAAAATGAGACGGTAAATCACATCAAAGCTGTGAGCAGCTGAATTCAAAAGGAATATAAAATATCTTCAGCAGTGTCAAGACATTGCTACGCAGAGTATTAAAAAATAGAAAATAACTTCTCTAGAAACAATGAAAAGAGTACTAAACTTTTACGTGATATATGTCCTCCTGTATGGAAGTGAATAAAAAGATTTCAAGTAACGGAAATGTGGTTCTACAGAAGGATACTATGGTTTCAAAGAAAATGGAAACGGAAAAGAAACTTTTATGGCAGATCAGGAAGAGGCAGTTGAGGTTTCTAGGGCACATAATAAGGAAAGCGGTGAGCAAGAGTAAATGGATGCTGAAACAGGGTTTAGGAAAATTAACAGAAAGATAACACTTATTAAGAGCTATAAAGGAGAAGTCATGGAAAACCGTGATCGCCCACATTCTGAGGAGACAGGGTACATATTAGTAGAGTTTTCCAAATCACAGTAGGTGATATCTGTCCTCCTTTACGACAGCTAATACTGGACGGTCTCCACAAAGATGAAGAAGAGACTCGAGGTAACGGAGGTATGGTTCTACAGAAGGATACTAAGGATACCATTGACCAAACATGTAGCAACGATGAGGTTTTGGATAAAATGAAAACAAAGAAGAAACTTATACTTAACATCAAAGAAAAGGTAGCTGAAATTTATGAGACACGTAATGAGAAAGGAGGGCTTGGAAAATCTGATGCTCACAGGGCGGATAGAGGGAAAGAGGGACAAGGGAAAGCAACACGTGGCATTCTTAATGGGTTTAAGTAAGTGGATGGCAGAACACGGTCTGGGAGAATTAGCAAAAAGACAAACCTTATTGAGAGCTACAATAGATAGGAAGAAGTGGAGAGCCACGATCGCCTTCGTCCTGAAAGGACACGGCACATAAAAGAAGAACAAAGAGAGAAAAAAAGAATGCGAGAGATATGATGAAGTGAAAGTTGGATATTAACGAAGGTTGATGTGGCATAAAAGAGAATAGAAAATGATAAGTTAAAAAATGATGAAGAAGAAATATACAGAAATAAGAAGCTAAAATGAAAATAATAAGAAAACGGAATAATACAGGCAACAAAAGAATCCAAACGTAGATTAATGCCAAAGATAAGAAAAAAAGACGGGGATAAAAAGTAATTGCGAAAGAATTTAAGAGAAGCGACAAGTAAAATAAGGGAAGGAGTAGTAGGAGGAAAACAGATTGAAAGAAATATGAAATATGAAGCAAAAGAAGATTACAATAGAAAAAAAAAGCAATATAAAGGAGAAACAGTCGGAAATATGAGAACGTAAAAAGAAAATGAAGAAGAATTAGAAGGAAGAAAAAGAAACAGAACAAAAGAATGAGAAAAGAGATATCGATAAGAAGGTGGAAGAGATCAGACTAAAAAAAAGTACAACAAAAGAAGAATGTAGGTAGATTTCGAAGGGAAGTCAAGAAATACGAGCCTGAAGGAAACAATAACAAAAATGTTGAAAAATAAAAATAAGAAAGACAAGAATAAATGCATAAATACAGGAAGAAATGAAAGAAAAAGGGAGTAAAAAATGACGTTGATGAAAATAAAAACAATGAAGGAATAAGCAGGAGTTATAAAAAAAAAAAAAAGACAAAAGCCGAAAAGAAAAAAATGGAGAAACAT